CCCCAAAACCCCAAAACCCCAAAGAGGAACTATTCATTGAGTTTGAGTGAAATATAAAGTTAATATAAACATAATTTGTCAATGAATTCAGTTTTCATTGTGTAAATGAGAGGTGGCATCAGATAGGCTGGTGCTTAATAGTAAAACCCAGAAAAGAAGGAGCAAGAGTTGCCAAAACCTAATAATCTTGAGCTAATGAGGAACAGATATCCTGAAAAGTAGAGAAAGTAAATTAGCTTTAATAAATATTAATGATTGTCTAGTTTAATACATGTTGAAGATCTTGAAGATGATTATAAATCATAATTTAGCCATAAAGGACTCCTGTAAGTAACTTTAAACTGATTATGTTCATGAAATCATTGACTTATCTGTAGGAATCAATCATTAAGGTAAAACAAGGTGCCTAAGGTTGATGAAATATTTAATTTGCTCTATTAAACTCAAAGACTCAGTGAGCCTGTGCCATCCTCAGAGTAAATCAATGAAAGAAGAGTCTCATTTAGTAGTAGCATTGATTTATAGGAAAGTTCAAACAAAACTAATTTGAAAAAGAGGAGAAGAAACAGCTCTAATGATCAGAATCTGATATCTAAGTTTGATGATTCTTCTCAGAAGAGGCTTAGAATTAATCTTGAAGAAGAGTCTAAGATATAACCACATGAAAAAGTCTTAAAAGTTTCGGTCAATGTGAATACTTAAAGATCTATATCGCAACAAATTTTAAAAGGAAATGATATAAAATCAAGTTAAGAAATGATAGTTTAATAGCAGAAATCACAAAATTGCAAGGCTTATTATCCTTGTGATATCTAAATAGCCTAGAATAATTAAAGATACCAATAAGAAGACTCTGATTTGGAATTGGGAGAAATAAGACCTTCACTAAAAAATGAGCAAGAGTGAGTGGAATATCCCTAGTTTAAGAGTTACATTACTTAATTAAATGGCAGAGATGCTGATATGATTGGTTTGAAGGGAATAATGGTGAAGCAAGGAATGTCAATATTTTATAAGCAAGGGGAAGAGGAAGAGGAAAATTTACATAGCTATGGGGTAAGGAAATTTAACAGAAATGGTGGAAGGTTTCTTGGTGAGTCTGATAGAAAAACTCAAGCTTTTATTGAATTAATGAAAAGTAATAAATCTTCTACGATAAGACCTTGTCCTTATGATGTAATTCTAATTGATGATGAAGATTACAAGCAAGCATCTCATAAAAGCAATAAATCTTCACAGGAGTTAGAAATTATCGATGAGAAATAAGGCAGATCTAATCATGTTTCATTCAAGTAGCCACTGAGAAGATTCTTTAATACCCATGTTCGGTAAGTCCGTTGCAAGAATTGCAACAATTTAGGCCATACGAAAAGTCAATGCACTGAACCTCTAAAGGAGACCTAGACTCTATGCTTGTTTTGTAGATAGCCAGGCCACCTAGATTTAAATTGCAAATTAAAGTAAGAGAGCTGCAATAGATGCTTGGGACTTGGTCATAAAAGAAATAAATGTCCAACTCTATGCTATCCTGACTAGGAGTTTGAGTACCACGTCAATAGTATTATCTACCTAAATAATGAAAGAGAAGACTACTATTACCTAGAAGAGGTCAATAACAAATATGATTTGGAATTGTACGAATGCATTTAATGTGGGAAAAAAGAATATTATTGCCAATGTAAGCCTAAGAGACTCGAAGCACTTAAGCTTAAGACAGATTTAATTGTGTGTCAGAAATTCGATTGTCATCAAGAATTTGCAACTGTACTTAGAACTCAGGGTATGAGCAATAAACTGCAATTCAAGATTAAAGAGCCAGACCTCGACATCATTAAATCGTTCGGCTTACGAAACTAAGACAACCAAGATTCAAGCTCAGATGAGATAATGGAAATTGATTAGGATAGTTTTGTCAATCATAAGTAATAAAGTTAACCTTAAATGAGCTCCTAAGATTTAGAAGATATTTTTATGGTACCTGAGGGTCATTAATATGATACTATTTATTGCTAGGGTTGTGGTGGTTAGAATCATCCTTATAATAACTGTGATAACTATCTGCTAAATAGAGGAAATTAATCAAGACCTAATAATTCTTCAAAGCATTATGATATTTCTTCTTATTCTGGAAGTAATCCTAATAAAGAAGCAAAACGAGCAAGAAAATTTGATTAGGCTTAAGAAAGAATAAGTTAATTAGCGAACAATAGAGATTTACTTTTAAAGCTTCAAGGTAATTCTGAATTATTAGCAACTAGCCAAAATGTAGACAAGTTATCGTTTAACTCAACATAAAGCTCAACAATAGGATCTCCTGATTGCAAAGCTTCAATAAACCAATAATAATTAGATCAATTGCAGCAAGAATACTCAGAAATCTTTAGCTCTCTATATTCACCTATTCCTTGCTAGATCAATCCCGTTTAGCAATAATAAGCAATTTAGCCTATGAATTAGCCTCAGAGAAAACCTAATTTATGGTCTAATTCCCATCACAAGCAAGACCAAATTGAAATGTCCTTGCAGAATAGAATGGCTCTAAACTATTGGAAATGAGTCATATAATACTGAATACTTTTAGTAACCTCGGCCAATTCAAAATCCCTTCAAGTTTTTAATCATATAAAAGTTTAGTCTTAATTTCATAAATTGTTCCAAATTAAGCACTATGGGGTTTTGGGGTTTTGGGG